TCTCTCTCCCTCTCTCTCCCTGAACCAATATTTAGAGATAATTGGCTTCCACGTCATCTACATAATAATTTCATTATTATTGAGAGGATCAAAGAGACCGCTATAAAAGTCCGAGTCTTTCTCAGACATGACCATTCGACTGGCATTTGCGGTCCAAGGCGCTCACTCACTCACTAACAAACACACGCACTATCTCTCACTAACAGACTCACTCACCCCAAGCAGACACTTTCAATTCTTTCGCTCGTGCAGAGCTTGGCCGTGAGTCGGTAACAAAGTGAGATCGACTTTCTCATCCAGACATCAAGACATCAACTACCCACAAGCAGGTGAGAAAGCAATACTCTCCAAAGTCAAATTGTGGTTAAATAAATGCTTTAGATCTAGATAAAAGTAGACAAGGTGACAAAGTAATACTCCAAAGTCAAACTGTAGTTTCATAGAATGCTTTAGATAAAAGTAGACAAAGTGAGAAAGTAATACTCCGAAATCAAATTGTAGTCCCACAAAATTATTCTTTAGATAAAATTAGATAACGTTAGAAAGTAATGCTCCGAAGTCAAATTGTAAATACATAAATGTTTTAGATAAAAGTAGACAAGGTGAGAAAAAATACTCCAAAGTCAAATTGTAGTTACATAAAATGCTTTAAATAAAAGTAAACAATGGGAGAAAGTAATACTCCAGAGTCAAACTACTGTAGTCACATAAAATGCTTTAGTAAAAATTAGACAAGGTGAGACCACTAGAAAGTAATATTCAAATGTTAAATTGTAGCTACATTTAATGGCTTCAGATATTATTATTAGGCAAGGTGAGACATTGCGAAAGTGATTGTCCAGAATTAAAATGCAGGTATATGAAAGGTTTTGGTTTTAGTAAATGTTTTACGCCACTTGCAACACAATAAGGTCATATAAATGCCAACGATTAGAGGTGTTTCAAGGGAGTAACAAACAAACAAAGAAAAAGAATGAGGAGAGATAAAGACGATAGACGTTTGATAGGAAAGAAAGAGTAAACCACACCAGAGCACTCGCCAACCACCCACATATAAAAAGTTTTCAATAAAATCAGACCAGGTGAGACATGGAGAAAACATTACTCCAAAATGTAGCCAGATCTACTTAAAAGCCTTTTGATAAAATCAGACTAAGCGAGACAGTGAGAAGGTATATTACTTCAAAATGTAGCAACATAAATAAAACATGATGAACATCTACTTAAAAATTTGGAAGGCGAAACGGGGACGGAAATAATGTTTCGATTGAAAGACGAAATTTGCACTGGGGCAAGAAAGCTGCTCTACGAGCTGATGGAGAGTTCAGATAATATATTTTTTAAAAGATATGGTAAGTTAGGTAGTGCTGTATTATGTTATCAAATCTCCTTTCGATCTTTAACATAAAATACAGTGAATACATAATATAGAAAAAAGCCCAGGTCTCAAAGTAAACATAGAAAATATTGCTTATAACATACATGTAGCTGTAATTGCTTTTTTCATCTTTTAGGAAAATGATTATCTTTTAATCCTAAAATCATGTCTGTGTCTATATCCTTCTCTGTATTATTTTGACCTTGTGTCACTTCTCTCAATTCTACTTTACTTAAATGGGTGGGTGGTTGGCGGGTGCTCTGCTGTGGTTTGCTTCTTTTTTCTTATCAAACATCTATTCTATCGTCCTTATCTCCCCTCCTTCTCTTTTTACGTTTGTTACTCTCTTGTAACACCTCTACTCTTCTGGCGCTCATGACCTTATGCAACTGCGAGTGCCGTAAAACCTCTACTAATACTAAACTTACTCAAATGGGCCATGAAGGCCCGTTTAGGACCTGAACGAGGATCATGCACACTGAACTAACGCCACGCTCTGGTTTATGGAACTTAGTCCAGAAACAGAGGCCAACGACAAGACGCAATATCTAAACTAAAAATAAGACTTAGATCTTTAGTTGTAACAAAAAGTTACCTAACAATGTTTGACGTGTTGCACTCAGCTTTGTCACTCTATAGAACGCATGCGGGTGGTTGTAAACAAACCTCTTGCAGGGGCCCTACTTTTTCTTTCTTCCACTCTGCCTGTTTTGTCTGTGTGGGTGGTTGGAAGCTGCCAGTGGTAGGGCCAGCTTTTTTTCTTTTACTCAGTTTTTTGGTTAAGTGTTTTACCGCTTGCAACTGAATAAGGTCATAATATGAGCATACGGAACACGTTAAACATTTTTAGTTCTGTAAGAATTTTTCACTCGCTCCGTTTTTTTACGTCTCTTTAGCTTTAGGTGGTTGGAGGGCACTACAAGTAGGCTCTGCTTCATTTCATTTCTGATTTTATGGCTGTATAT